TCAGAAAAAATCTAAAAAATCTGAAAAAAATATATGTTAAACTACAACTGATAAACTTTATTTTAATATAAAAATAATAATTATTTCTTATTAAAATTATAAATTTTAATATAAAGAGAAAATTTCAATTTTCACTATGTTTTATTAGTAAATTTAGCCCCTATTTCATTACTTTTGGTCACCACTGTATAGAAAGATTTAACTATATATATTTTTATTTATATATAATTAATAAAGATCAACTAACTTTTGTACTTGTAATAATATTACAACTAAAATTCATTTCTATTTAGTCTGATTCTTAAGCTATTCATGCATTTTCTCAAGATAATTTAAACACAGTTCACAAGAACAGTATAAATAATTCACAATGCAAATCCATTCTATATAAATGCTTTCGAGACCCTATCTCTATTAACTCTATTAATCTAGTTTATATTTAAATCGAACGTTATCTTTTAATGCGCGGATGAATTCATCATCATTATGATATGATCGCTTTAATATAATATTCCATGCAGTATGTTCACCATCCTTTTGGCTTCGATTTATTTCCTTGGTGATGAAAACACGGGGCCAAAGTATGTCCCAAAATTCTCTTTTGCGATAACTAGGTAACGGTCTGGTAGAATCATCATAATATATTGTAGGAGACTATCTAAAGATTTCGATTTCAGAATGTTTCAATGTTCTTGATGGATTCCTTTAAAACTTGATACAACGTAAATCCTTCCGAGTTATAGTCCATTTGTCTTGCTCAATTATGAGGAGCTTGGAACCGTCAACAACTTCTCTAACAACAAATGAAATCTCCAAACGGGGCTGACTACCATTGATAACTAAGATAATTAAGACATTCCCTTCTTCCCTTGGTTATCAGTTTTTTTTGTTAACTTTAATGGTGTGAATTTTTTCCATAGGCATCGCGGTGTAGTTCCCGCAGACGCAACAAACTACTCCCACTTCTGCCAATACATAGTGTTAGGTAAAATGTTTTCTCAAATGGTCCTTGTACAATGCGTAAAGTGTACCAATGAAACTTACCTCATTTTTATGTTTTGTGACAATATCCGCAGTCCAAGAAATGAATTCAGAATTTTTGTGATCATGTAAGGAAACTCCGGCATAACTGTTTCTAATTATAGACCCTGTAAAGAAAATAAAGTCATGAATATGTAATTGCGTATTGTAATAAAGATCAAAGAATTCATTCCTTGTGCTTATTTTTAGCCCTCCATAATTATTAATAATGAAAATTGCGATCCCTGAATTTTTCAGCTGAAAGGCAAATCCCACCACATGTAAAAAAAAATATTTTGTGCAATAAAGATATTTCTTTATTAAAATTTACAATAATATAATCACACAAATCTGTAATACATGATAAAATTAACATAATCTCATATACACTGACTCATATGGTAACTCAAGTCAATTTCCAATGCGTATTGCTTCACACGATTAGTAATCCAATTTGGTATCTTCTTAGCAACTGTTTTGCCGGTAGTAAAGTGCTGTGCTTGGAAATTATCGTATAAATTTTTTGGTAAGACAAAATAAAAATATATATGATTTGTTCCCGACGTTCCGCCCAATTTTTCAGCAAGCTTTTTCAAGCCATTCATATTAATAGGATGATTCTTGCTCACTGTCATCTGAAAGAGTGTGTCAGGTGCAACAACTGCATCAATGGATGTAAAATTCCTTTGGCGCGGTTTACAGTACCTGCCCTCCTCGATCTTATTAATGTCATTAAACACCAACTTGATCCGTTCTGGAATTTCAATTGTAGAACTTGCGGAGTCGGATTCTAAAGGACGAATATTAAATATTCCCCCCTTTTGTATAATTTTATGTGCAATCTGTTCGAATATGTTGCCCCGAAGCGTACTGTATTCATTTTCTGAATAGCTTGCTACCACAAAGTTCCTTAACCGTTGACTACAATTATTTTCGAGTTTGCCCATCACTTTTTCGGCCACCCATTCAGACGCAAATCGTATGAATTTTTGAATGTAGGGAGCATTTTCACCCTTTTCGTTCTCTTCTCCCTCTTCACGCGGTAGATTCGTGTGGATATGAATGAGCTTATGACTGGTGTCTTGGTCGTGGTCAAGTTCTCCAACAAATTGAAATAATCTCTCATCACTCCTGTCAATTGCATCTTCAAGACGACGTTGCTGAGAGAAATCTAGAGCTTTTTCTAAAACGAATCGAGGAATCCCTCCCCAAATTGAGAATAAATCCTCGATCTTGTTATCGTCGAGATGAGAGAACATACCGCTTTTGCATTCGTTGACTTCGTCCCATGACCATACTGGCATGTATCGTATTGTTGTTCCCACAAACTTATCAAATTCATTGTAATGTCGTTTTTGAGGAGAACAGAGAAGGATCGTCTTAGCTTTAACTTGGCGTGGTTGTAGACCATCTACAATATACCAGACATCTCTATTGCGCAAGTATTCTTCAAAGTAAACGTCGAGATTACTACTGCGGAAGGTATGTTGCTCGTTGAAGAGAATTGGAGTTTGACTAAAATTGTAGTACACAATGGTTTTATTTTTTTGTGAAAGCAAATAAAATAGGTAAAATCCGAAAAAAGTTTTGCCAATTCCGGGATTACCGCTAATACGACAACGAAATATTTCCTCATTAAAGACAATATTAGCTAAGTGGTCATAACATTTACGGATGTATAGAACGTTGCCCTGCTTTTCATCACCCAAGAAATAGACGTCATTGGGTAGCCGAAGGAAATTATTATCAATTTTCGCATTCTTCAAAGATTTCCAAAACTTTCCCACAGCTTCGTTAGTTTCATCCTTTGTGAATAGCTCTATGATAACATCAATGTGATTTTTAGGAAAACATGCGAGTATGCAAAAAAGAAAAATACGAAGTTGGTTAACATTGCGTTTAATGACGGAAAGCCAAAAAATACTGGGCGAGATAAGAGATATAAATGCATGTAATATATGTAAAGTAGAATATGAAATCAGAACCACGTATGTCCCCAACGCCCGAGTCACAAAGTCATTACCTGGCTGAGTGGTAAATCTCTCTTGCAATAACATTACCTGGTTACTCCACCTCTCCCTCCTCTCCTCCAGTCTCTTCTTCTCCGCAGCCAGCTCGTCCTTCTCCTTCTCCCATCTTTGCTGCTGCGTCGCAGTTCCTTCTTCTCCCCACAACTTGTTCTCCAAGTCTGTCAACCTCTGTCCGTATCTCCCTTCCCTGAACGCCTGCAATTCGTTCTCTGCCTTCAACAGCTGCGCTTCTGCCTTTGTCAACTCTTCTCTCAGTTCTTGAGTAGTTGCCATTTTTTTTGTTGATAGAAAGATGTGTGATGTTAATATACTAACACTGATCTGTGGCTTAATCAATGACGTAACTCCCTCTTAGAATAATAACTTAGTGGTGCCGAAAATAATCGGCAGTCCCGTGATTATGAGCCACACAAGCCATCATATTTCATTGGGTAAGTTTAAAAAAGGCAGTCTCATGACCATCGAACATGTGTGATTATTTCTATTCTGCAAATTCTAAAATTAAAAGTTGTGGTTATTGCTATGATATCAATACTGATGGTAGGTTATTTTTACTATTTTTGTTGCTTTTTTGGTTAAGTTTAGATAATTAACGCTAATGTTTTTTTTGTCAAAAGAAATATTAAAACGCGTTGACGATGACGTTGATTTTAAGATAAATTACTGGTAAATTTGAAAATATATTATAATTATAGAGATGAAAAATTTAAAATTTCTTTTCTTTTAACGTTAATAGTGTATTAATCGGTAAAAACAACAAATATCATGGTATGAGGACCTTTAACGTTAAAAAGACCTTTAACGTTAAAAAGACCTTTAACATTAAAAAAACTTCGAATGATGATCGAATAATTAAATACGATCCTTCTGATGATATCAAAAATCTGATCACGTGTGTTGAATGTAAAGACGAACCAAAGAAATATGGATGTAATCATCCAATTTTTTTGAGCATTCTTCTGAAAGATTGTCCTAATGAGTGTTCTCCTGGATTTTTTAATATAACTCCGAAGCAAATTTTATTCTACTGCTTTAATAATTCAAAGAAAGCAAACAAAGCAAACGCAGCACAAATTGTCTATTACTGTCCATCATTATACGATGAGAGTGCATTTAATTCTTATTATCATATAATACATGTACATGTTCACGTATATAGAGTTCGTTTATACATGTATAAACTGAGTTTTTTGTTAAACCGACACTTTTTCCATTGCCCGAGACTAGAGGCACAATGCAGCGAAAGTTGTGGCACCAAACAGGATGTTATCTTTATGCATAAAATGATATAACGATAAAAATCCAGATTTCCGTTTTGTTACAATAAAAAGTTTCCTTGTAAAATTTATGTAAAATTGCAAATGACAAATGCACGAGCAATTGAACTTTGGAATGATTTATCAGACGATTTTAGTCAATTATTGGAAAGTGGTGAAGGATGTGATGTAATAATTTACGCGGGTGAAGAACCAAATTTGAAAGAGCTTCGAGCTCATTCGCTTATTTTACGATCACGTTCGTCATATTTTCGAACGGTTTTATCTAATCCTCGAACGAGAAAAGAAGGAAATTGTTTTGTTTTATTGAAACCTAATATTATGCCAAATGTATTCGGAGCTATATTAAGGTAATTATTTTAGTTGAGATTATTTAATTTTTGAGGTAAATCATAATCATAATGTTTTCTTTTATAGATATATATATTCTGGAGTGGTTGATTTAGAAAATCAGGAAGCTCCAGAAATCTTAAATTTGTTAGTAGCAGCCGAGGAACATAATCTTCACAAACTTTCTAAGTATATTCAAAATTTTCTAATTGAAGAAAAAGGAGAATGGCTTCGTCAAGATCCTGTACAAATACTCGAGCTCGTATTTCAAAACCAAGCATGCAAAAGTCTTCGGGATTATTGTTTATCAGCGATATGTGAAAATCCTGGTCTAGTTTTTGATTCGTCGAAATTTCTACAAATTGACGAATCAATTTTAATATTACTTTTACGACGTGATGATTTAGCAATGAAAGAAATAGCGGTTTGGGAGCATTTACGAAATTGGGGAATGTCACAGAATCCTTTATTGAAATATGATGTAGAAGAATGGTCAACAAATGATTTCGCTACTTTGGAAGCCACATTACATCAATGCATCCCGTTAGTGAGATGGTTTCAAATTCAACCATTTGAATTCTCAAGAAAAGTTAGACCTTTTAGGAAAATCTTACCCGAAGGTTTATATGAAGATATTATAACACATCATCTTGATCCTGAAACAGAATTAGAATCAACAGTTTTACCTGCTAGAGTTGCCCCAAAAAAATCTTTGGATAAATTGGAAGAGACGGTTGGAAAAACAAAAAAAATGTAACATAAATTAATTCTATATTTATTTCAAATATTTAAATTCATGAATTTATAATTTAAGATATTAATCAAATTTTGTCATTATAAAAGATAGAAGACAAATTTGCAGTAAAATTTACTCATCCTACTATGCAACACCGATAATTTTCCATTATGTCTTGTGTTATACTTCGGGATTGCTTAAGAGCATAACCCACACTAATTATCATCTTTCGCAAAACCATAAAAACTTATAATAGGTGCTGCCACTATACTTTAGATCGACGCGGACATGGAACTGTAACCTCCGTGCTATTCAATCGCTGAGGTTGTGCGTTGATCATCACATAATTCATAAAATATGAAGTTCGAACAGGTGTTCAAATTTGAATACCGATACTAATGCCTTGACTTGTATGATCTTCATTATGAATCCACTTTGATTAATTGCAATCAATTATCTTGTTATCATCAATCTTTCCAACTCTTGGCGATGAGATATTAAAAGTTGGCAGATTCGGATTAAGAAAATAATTTATTAACGCCTCTATATAGATATTTGGAATATTTTTTTTTGTAGAATGGAACATACAGCCACAGCATCACGTCACTTTCCGATTGTTGAAACTCGTTAGGCGTTCATTTTGATGATGGAAACGCCGGATAAGAAGATTATCTCGGTAAATCAAACCTCAATTGCTGAAAGACTCGATCAAAAGTTTTTCTTGTTTTGTTGAAAAATTAGTTGTCAGAGAATAAATAATTCGATGCAATCTTCATGCATGAACACATAAAAGTGCCTCTTTCAAATACCAAAAAAGTTTTAGGGATACTGTGCATTGATAACTCGATTAACTCGAATTCTCATTGACAGATACCAAGTCAATGGTCGCGCGTTAGACGCATATTTTATATAACATGCAAATTAATAACTCAAAATAGTAATAATAATTCTTCCTTAGTTCCTTGCCTGATCTCGCACTCCACATTATGGATGTGCAGCAAAGTCTACGTCTTTATTCTCTTCGTTTCAAAAGAAATACTTCTGGAGAAATTATCTTGAGATTTTTCATCAGTTAATCACATTCACATTTAAAAGATAATCTGGCAAAAAAAAGGTTGGACCAATAAAATAAACGAAATTTTGTCAATTGTGATTGGTAGAAGCGATCATTTTTATCGTACACAAATTGTACGAAACAACAATTAATATATTCATCAGGAACAACGATTAGATTTCTGACTTCAAATTTTTTATTATAAAGTCACAAACTGCATCTGCACTAAATATGTCAATTGTGATGCTGTAAAGTGTTCAATAAGCATTGTAACATGGTGTTAGAGAGGATGTGATTATCGTAAATTGTCTTTAGATTTATCAAGATCAACAAAAAGAGCGAAGTCGTTTATCAAGCATTAGTAAGATGTTCTTATGTAGATATTTAAATTATTATTATAAGAATTCATTAGTCTTTATTGTATTAATGTGTCGGAATACCAACATGTCAGGAAATCTTGGTCTGTCTGATAAACTTTTAAAGCATCATCTCAAGATTAGTAAGAAAGTTTGATATTATCTTTGAAGTTGATTGAAAAGGTAAAAACAAAAAAGTTTGCAGAATGTCTTGATTATATAATTGATTAGAAATCTTAAAAAAAAATTGCTAAGAAATATACGCTCCTTGTCTCTCTAATAAAAGTTCTCCCCCACTTTCGATTAAATCACCTAATTTCTTGTCCATCTCGAGTAGTTGACCTGTTTCTTTATTATATAGCAAAAGGAACTAATCAAAAATAGAGATTGCATTAGTATATGCAAAGTAAGAAAGATATTAAAGAAGGGAAGAGACGTGTTCCTACATTAGGATCACCAAAGGTCAACCGATTATTTGTATTGCTAATCTTTCCAGCAATAGCGATACGATCTAATACCTTACCAATTGTCCAGTTCTAAAAAAGAGAAAAGAGCTACAATTCAATTGGGATAGTGGGATTAGAATGAGAATTGCAATTCTTCACCTTATTAAAGAATAAAGGTTTGGTTGACACATTAGAATCACGTGGAAAATGTACATATAAATAAACACGTGAATCATGTGGGATTGATTGGTCACCCTTTATACGTTCATAAATTAACGTTAAAAATGAATAGAGAAAATGTAAAAGATAAAATGTAAAAAAGATAAATACAGACCTGTGCTTTAGCTTTAAGTTTCATCACTTCAACAATTTTGCTCGACTTCTTTTTCGGTTTCTCATTTATGGGATTAGTAGTGAGATTTACCAAAGATGATTTTGTTGAAGTGGTTTTGGATTTTGAATTAACAACGGCAGCTTTAGATGCTCTTAAATATTGTGCTTTGATTTCTTCCGCTTTTGCGCGTCTTTTTGCCTTTGCTTCGGATGCTACATTTAATGAAGAACATTGATGTGACGCAGGATATCGATGTCTATACAAAGAAGAATCGAATTAATCGAATTCTCAATTATATTATTCCACCCACCACTTACTTTAGGCAAAACATCTCACCACACCCATCACAAATAACAAACACAAATGTATCACTCTCGTTGACTGATTTGCATTCGGACAATCCACATTTTTTTCTTATTGTTGATGGAAGACCAGATAGTAAATGAAGCGTACATCTTGAAGATTGGTGTTCTGTTAACTATCAAATACCTTTATGTTATTAAGCTAGTATGAGAAAGATCAATTAATAATAACACGGATAATCAAATAGCATATACCGTCTCCTCAACAGTCTTGTCATGAGGAATCAACAACATCGATGAACATGTTTCACATAATTGGATATTCTACGCTCAGGAGCCAAAGATTAATCCATAATCGAAAAAAATTATAAAAGAAACTCGAATAACAAACTTTTTCGTTCGTCTCCCATAATTTACACTCATGATTCGTAGGATATCGATGATCAAGGCTTCAAAATCAACCATATCAGGATATAAATACAAATTCAAGAGCTAGCTCTTCATGATTTATACCAAACTCCTTTGTTAAAAATTCTTTTATTTTCTTTTTTCGTTAAAACACTCACCAAAAATATGATTTACAACAGCCACAAAGAAAGGGCAAAAAATCTAACACCAAAGGGGTAAATCAAATGAAATTATCTGAAAAAAAAATTTGAATCTAGTCATCGATGTAAATACTTGCCAAGTTGTGCACAACTCTCGAAAGAACACTGTTTGCCTACCGACGGAAATTCCATTCTTTTGTTTTGTTCTAACTTTATTTTTCAAAAATGTGAGGTCTATCTTTTTTGGATAAGTGTACATATGATTAACAAATAAATAATAAATGCAATTATTTTTCTAGTTTTTCTAGTTTTAACGGATCATCAAGAACCACTTTTTGGAGGATAAAACGTGATGTTTTCGGTTGATCAATGTTAACTAGATGTCCAGCATCATGTACCAATACATAGGTAAGATTTCGTTCTGTATGTATTTTACCAATTATGTTATCTTGTTCGTCGAAAATTGGCTGTAATTCATTATTCTTGAATCCAGTTTCACCTCCCCAACTCATATTTCCAATAACGAATTCTGTTCCAATATGAGTAACCGAGGCGTCTTTATCTCCACTTTTTATTTTTGTTAGAAAAGAAACAACAAAAATTAATCATCGCTACTAACTTTTACATGGTTTAAAAGTGAAATTACCTCCAAATCACGACTTTAATATGCTCGGTTAAACTTGGAATTATATTCACGGCTACCAATGAATTATCAGGTTTCAAGACTTTATTAGTACATAGTTCCCAAGGAGATGAATTGGCTGGCAAATGAATTTGTTCGAGTAATTTTGGATTCTAAATGAAAAAAATTATAAAATAAATTTCTCTTCTTTGCACCGTACGTGGAATATAATAGAACTTACTTGAAGAAATGCATTATAATCGAATTCACTATTCACAAGAAGAAATGGAGGTGGTGGATTACTGCAATTATATCTCACGTCATATACCGAAAAGCATCTGAAAATTTAATTTATATTTAATTAATCATAAATAACAATAATATATAATAGAATCGGGAAATATAAAAACTTACGGATTTGATTTATAGATAATTCCAAGCGCAGCATATGCTACGTCACATTTTCCAAAACCATAAGTATAATCAATTCCGGTCGCTTCTGATGACTTTGTATTTCCAATAGTTGGCATGCATCGGTCTAATAGACCTTGTAATAATTCCTTTTTGGATAAAGTAAAAATATCTTTTAATACTGTATAGGAGAAATAAATATATTGCTTTGGCATAATCATTGATTACCTGATTTGTGGAATTTATTAATTTCTGCTCTTCCGCGTATGGAATAACAGCAGCAACCACTTGGCGAAAATATTGATCAATTGTTGCACTACTTATGGAAATTCCTTTTAAACGAAACTATTATCAAATAGTCCGTTTATGGGTTAACTTTAGTGACCACAATAATGTAAAAAACACTTATTGAACATTACCTTATTTCTCTTGTCAAGTTCTCCATTCTTAATAATAGACGCTGCTGCATAAGGAATATAAAAACCAGCATAACTAAAAAATAAATATAAAAAGTTTGTAAAAAGAAAAAAAACACTAACCAAATAGCTGTAAAATGTTTTGAGAAAATTCACCTTTCACCAGCGAGATAAATATCTTTATTACGCAAATGCGGAAATACTCTAAAGAAGTTTACTAGAAAATTGAAAATTGTTTCGCCAACCTAATGATATTTCAGAAATATAAGAAATGATATAGTGAAATGCTCAGACTTTTTAAAAAAAGAAAAATATTAACTTGGGTTTCATCCTCGACTTTTGAATGTCCGGCCAAATTGGAGAAACCAACTCCGAGAGGCTTTTTTCAAAGAGAAATAAATTAGAAATGAATTACGAATTCCTTATCCCGCGAATATCATTAATATCATTCCATTTACCTGGTCCACTACAATAATTTCGAAATATGTTAATATTCAATAAAACATTCAATTACTTTTACGCACAAAATATTTTTACCATAAACAATATGTGCATCCTGATGCCAACTGTTTGGATTATTCGTAAGTTTCTTTGCTTGCCTGTCAAAACCAGAGAAAGGACCATGTTCGGCAAGTAAACTTGCTACAGAAGAACTAAAATAAATACGAAATATAAATGTTTGTGCTTGCATTCAAAGAACTTAGAAACTATTTCTAGAATAATTACGCACCATCCTGGCCCTTTATTTCAAAATGTTTAATTGAAATAGTGAAATTTGATTTAATTAGAAGAAATTTCTTTTAAATTTTGACATTTTTTTATACTTGCCTCCTTCAAACCAAAAAATCTATTTTTGAATATACACAGAGGAATTAGTTAGGTCATTGATAATATAATTTCACTAAAATTATAATTACTGTATCTGAATTCAACCTACCAAATCGTTAGAACGTATATTTTTTGATTCAAAATACCAAAAGAATAATTTATCGTTGGGATTCTCACTTCCAAATACAGGCAGTAATCCAGCATATTGCACAAGTTTTCCTTGAAAATTTACATCCGGAAGATTATTCGTGTCTACCAGGTATTCAATGGCTATGATTTGATTTATAGCGTAATTTTTTTCAACAAAGGATTTTTTAATTTCTCTTTCAATTTTTCACGAAATCATTGAAATCATTCTTTTCTTGAAATTTCAAAATACCAGATGGAAATTTAATAGCATCGTCAAAAATCTTTTTAAAACTGTATCCATCAAAATCAATATTTATTTTAAAATTCTTTTTGTTATCTCGACATCTAATCAAATTTTGTGGTAATATGAGTGCCAACAGCAAAACAAGAAAAACTTTAATTCTACTGAGCATTATGTAGTCTATAAGATCTCTATAATGCTAACGCTTAGTATTTGTCTAATGATTTTTCCAGGAATACGAAATATCCCTATTAAATCGATGATATACCGAATATATAAAGGAATGATGGAATCGAGGATGTATGTAAAGATAAAAAATTCAAGAAGAAAAAATCATTACATCGTGTCAATTTATAGACTCTGCGATTTTATTTCAAATAATCATCTTTAAGAACCATAAAACATTCAACATAGTCACAAATACATGTATATACAACGCGCAAAACGCTAACAAAGAAGATTACAACGAATCCCAAATTAACTTATCGGTTATTAACAAAGAATAATATACGTAATAAAGAACACAGCACAGAACCATGCGTTTTAAACATGAACACAGGATTAGAATTGCTAACAACTAAATTAGGTTAAAATGATTCACATGCTTCTTTGTTTAATGCAGGAAGCTTCACGTGTGCATTCCAATTTAAGGATAAAAGTTTACACGATGCTATAACTAATTGGCGACGATCCCCACGCCGGCATGATCTCCTCACCTATAAATCTACTTTCTATCGTGTAAAGATTGCAGAAAAGAAAATGGTTTATATGATACCTTCGTTGATCGAAGATAAAATTTCTCCACGTGCCAAAAATTTGATCGAGAAATTAGACGATTTTGTCAAGGTGAAAAAGAATGAATATTTCTTGCTCGATAACTTTCATCGAATTGATCTAAAGATTATTGGTTATTTAATAAGAATGATTGTGTTCCATCGGAAGCGCTTTATTATGCGCAGCTTGGTAGAGGTGAAAAAAGATGGAAGGTAAATTATCTAGAGGAAAATTCGGGATAATAAATTCAGAATTTTCTCTTGTAGTATTATTTATTATTTGTCATATATGATATCATAATGCAATAATAATAATTAGGTTGTTCCGCCAGTGATTGAACAATTAAAGAAAAAAGCACAATCGTTGGGATTATGGAATTTGTTCTTGTCAAAAGATTATCCAGAAGGTGCTAATTTGTCGAATCTAGAATATAGTGTGATGGCTGAAATTATGGGACGTTCTATACGTATTGCTCCTGAGGTTAATTGAATCTTTATTAATATTTGAACTGTCAATGACAATTTAAAAAAAATCTCATTCTTATTTAATTCTGGATTAATTAAGGCTACAAATTGCTCAGCACCAGATACAGGTAATATGGAAGTATTTGCAAAGTACGGCACACCAGAACAAAAGTCACGTTGGTTAGTTCCACTACTCCGCGGTGAAATTCGATCAGCATTCGCAATGACAGAACCAAATGTTGCTTCATCGGATGCAACAAATATCGCGACCTCAATTCAAAAAATCGGCAATGAATATGTCATTAATGGACGTAAATGGTGGATTTCGGGAGCAGGCGATCCACGTTGCGCTGTTTATTTGGTAATGGGAAAATCTGATCCTCGAAACCAAAAATTACATCGACAACAAAGTTTGGTAATTGTACCCGCGAATACCGAAGGTGTTCAAGTTATTAGACCATTGACTGTATTTGGATATGATGATGCGCCTGAGGGACATTGTGAGATTACATTTAAAGATGTTAGAGTTCCTCTTGAGAATATTATTTTAGGTGAAGGAAGAGGATTCGAAATCATCCAAGGTCGATTGGGCCCCGGAAGAATTCATCATTGGTAAAATACTTTTATTTCTTGGTTGCTATTTTTTAATCCCTATTTTTTTTTTAATTAGCCAATCTATTTTCTCTAAACAAAGTATGAGATGTATTGGTGCGGCAGAACGTGGCCTCGATTTAATGCTTGCACGAGTCACCGATCCATCTCGTCGAACATTCGGTAAACTTATAGCTGATCATGGTACCGTTAAAGCGGACATAGCAAAATCACGTATGGAAATAGATCAAGCTAGATTTCTTGTATTAAATGCGGCACACATGATCGATAAAGTTGGCGCAAAACGTGCAATGAAAGAAATCGGAATGGCTAAAGCTATAGTTCCAACTGTGTTGCTCAACGTGTTGGATAGATCGATGCAGGCACATGGTGCAGCCGGTGTATCTGGTGACACGCCATTAGCATATATGTATGCGGCCGGTAGAACTTTGCGATTTGCCGATGGTCCAGATGAAGTTCATATTCAACAGATTGGAAAATTGGAATTGAGACGTGCTAAAGAGATTAAAGAACAGAATGAAGTTAAATCAATTACTTTTTCTAAATTATAGATATTAAAGTACATCTTATAATGCATCTATACGCATATACATGTATATTATTATAGTATAAATTATTATGTTCTTTTGACAAAAGTCATTATTATAATGTCAAACAACAAACAAAAATTTATTCGGCCACAGATTCATGTGATTTTTAAGGGTAAAACCAATCAAATCCCAAGATCAAAAAATCATTTATGTACATGTATAGTACCTATAAATGTGTGTGATGGTCCTTTATCATTATAACATTTATTACAAAAAATCCACTCGTTATGCTTTATATTCGACGGATTCGTATTCGAAACATGCGCCTTAGATGCTTTTTGATGCTTTTTTTAATACTTTGCCAATAGTAGGCATCTTTAAACATGACTGCTGCTTCTGCTTTTCAAATTCAATTATGTAACGATATTGCGAGTTTCTTAGAGAATAGAATACGCACGATGTAGTAATTCGTGTTGGCGGAGAGAAGAAAGACTTTCGTGCACATTCTACTATTTTGTGCGCCCGCTCACGTTATTTTCGAATTGCACTTTCTCCCGAGTGGTCTAAAAAAGAAAATGGCATATATATATTTGAAAAATCTAATATCTCGCCTCCTAATCTCGAGATTATCCTAAGTAAGCATTGTACAAGATGAATATCTTCTATTCGCTTAAATATAAATTTTATTCTTTAGGTTTTTATATAGTGGTAAAATCGAATTGAGACAACATGAAGGTTTGGATATCTTAAAATTGCTCGTTGCGACGAAATCCTTACAAATTGGAGCTTTTATTCCGTGCAAGCAAAGATGGATTTTCTAACAAAAATGTGATAATGAAGGAGCAACAGTTGTTTTTGCTAAACTTAACTCTAAAGAAATGATATTTGGAGGTTATAATCCAAACAGCTGGAATAATAGTTATCAATATGGTAAAACTTGGTCCAGCTATCCAAGTACTTATTTTCAATATCCTCAAGTTTTTCGATTAGTTTTTTTGAATCCAACATAGGCCTGTACTCGAGTTGTAAAAAACCTGATACATACATGTATAGTGTTCACGAGGTTCAGTGCATGTATGCTACAGATAAGATGATAAACCGGTTTATATGTATATAACTAAAACTTTCCTTTGACAAAAGTCATTATCGACAACAAAATGAACACAAAATTATACCATTGTTAAAACAGAACACTTTCTAAAAGCATTTCTTGAATTCAACCTTCGTCATTGCCTGTTCGAGGACACTAGAATAATAGATTGCTAGAATGTCCTCGAGTTGGATGATCGAAAAGATTCTCTATTCACACGCAAATCTTCGTGGTATCCGAGATGACTTCAATAGACTAAGTGCAATAGAAACTGTGTGGATCTAGATCAACACTAGAAGCATGTTTAATGTTAACTCAAATCTTGCAATATAGCGAAAGTTGAGTGTTCAAAACTTACTGTATTTCGAAATGATCATCTACACATTTTCTATAGCACTCGTCCCATTTTATCATTTACATTCGACGGATTTGTATTCAAACATGCGCCTTAAATGCTTTTTTTGATACTTTGCCAATAGTAGGCAGCTTTAAACATGACTGCTGCTTCTGCTTTTCAAATTAAATTATGCAACGATATTGCGAGTTTCTTGGAAAATAGTAATACGCACGATGTAGTAATTCGTGTTGGTGAAGAGAAAAAAGAATTTCGTGCACATTCTACTATTTTGTGCGCCCGCTCACGTTATTTTCAAATTGGACTTTCTCCCGAGTGGTCTAAAAAACAGAATGGCCAATATATGTTTGAAAAACCTAATGTCTCGCCTCTTATTTTTGAAATTATTCTAAAGTACGCATCTTGCAAGATTAAAGGAGATATTCATTTTCTATTCGCTCTAATATAAATCTTATTCTTTAGTTTTTTATATAGTGGTAAAATTGAATTGAGTCAACATGAAGGTTCAGATATCTTAAAATTGCTCGTTGCGGTTGATGAATTACAATTGGATGATTTGTCAACATATATTCAAGAGTATTTGATCAAAGAGAAAACTGAATGGATACATAAAGATCCAAAACAAGTTCTAGGGATTGTGTTTAAACAACAAGCTTGCACCAGCCTACGTGATTTTTGCCTCGAAACTATTTGTGATGACCCAGAGTCAATCTTCGAATCCGATGATTTTCTTTCGTTAGATGAAGCAATTTTAAAATTATTTTTGAAACGCGATGATCTCGGAATTGAAGAAATTAAAATATGGGAGAATCTTATTAAGTGGGGAATCGCACAACATCCTAACCTCTCGGATGACGTATCGAAATGGTCAAAGCAAGAATTTCTAGATGTGGGGAATACATTACAACAACTTGTTCCATTGATTAGATGGTCTCAAATCGATTCGCGAGATTTTCAACAAAAAGTTATGCCATACAAAAAAGTTTTGCCTAAATCACTCTCGAAGAACATAATCGATCATTATTTAAATTCAAATATTCCGATACAATCAACTATAAAGGCTCGAATTCCACGGGCAAAATTAATCAATTCTGAAATTGCTGCGGTGATTGCAAGTTGGATTGACAACCAAAATTCAAATTATTACAATGAAAGACTAAATCCTTACAAATTTGAGCTTTTATTCCATGCAAGTAAAGATGGATTTTCTAGCAATACGTTTCATCAAAAATGTGATAATAAAGGAGCAACAGTCGTTTTTGCTAAGCTTAACTCTAACGAAATGATATTTGGAGGTTATAATCCAAACAGCTGGAAGAGCGATATGAATTATCAATCTTGCACTACAACTTTCTTGTTCTCATTTCAAAATTCTCAAAACATTGCTTCAGCACAAATTGGTCGTGTTAAACAAAATCAATGTGCAACATATAATTATTCAAGCTATGGCCCAACCTTTGGCGGTGGACATGATTTTTTTATCAACGGTAACGTTTGGCAACACAACACCCCAAATCATACTTACCCTAGTGTTTTCAACAATATTCGCAATGGAACTTTACAAGAATATGAAGTTTTTCAAGTCATTAAAAAATAGCAATTCAATTTTGTCACAATTTTCTGAATCATTCTATTGGTTAAGCTCGAGTTGTAAATTTCGAATATGTATGCATAAAACCTGATACATACATGTATTGTGTTCACGAGGTCCAGTGCATGTAGGCTACAGATAAGATGATAAACTGGTTTATATAATAACTCCTTTCGTGCAAAAGGAAATATATCACACATCACATAACTTTCCTGATAAAAGTGATAAAAAAGATAACGATAACCGTAAAAAATTAATTTACTCTTGTGTGCTATTATTTATGTACTAGTTAGAAAACAATTTGAGAAGTTAATGGATAGCTGATGGAGGCATGATGCCAGAATAAGGACGAAAAGGCATAGATTTTAAATTAGTTCACGTTTAAACTAAAAGCATGAACTCACTTTCACTCTAAGATCTAAAACTACAACGATCTCCCAGTTAATTTTTTTAGCTTTGAATACCCAACAATAAATAATTTAGAATGCATGCATGCATGCAGGATTATCAATTAAATCTTGACCTCGTACAATTAAGATAATATCCTTAATATATTTCATTGATATCATTTTCTCCATTTGAACACAGAAATAGGAGAACGGCATTTCTCGGCTACAGAAGATATATATAAGGCAAAAATGATGGTGGGCGCACGTATATATTTATATGCATGATATTGTTCTATCACACAAATATTGCGAAACCTCATTTTCTCAATATACTGATACGCAAAGTACCGTGCGTTGAAAGTCATAAGGATTGGACATTGCCACACACATTGTTTCATAAAACACATTTTAACGCAGCAGAAATTATGAAAGTATCTCGGCAAAATTTAGCATCGTAGTTTCCTTTCTTTCATTTGATAGATCGACAATTTCTAAGCTTTACCATAACAGTGTGTCAATCACAAATTGCATGTGGAAATTAGAGTGTGAGAGAGTAAATAAACACTTAGAAAAATGAAAAACAGGATTTCCTTTAATTCGGTCTATGGGATTGGGTTAATATTAAAACAAACGGATTTAATGGACAATTTTATTTCCTGTAAATAACCATTGTCAAAATGTCAAAAAAAGTTTAAGGGATAGGGGAAATAAAATATGATTCGATAAATTTTGCTTTTGACACCGCCTGATAAGAAATCTGATAGAATGACATTTTTTTATAAAATTAACGGAGACACAATACACAAAGTTATCATATCATACATGTAATCAGATGCGATATATTTGATGTCTGATAACCTTCGTGCAGACAAAAAGTGATGTGAAAGAATGATCTTATCTCTCTTTGTATATTTTACTTGCATAATCTATTGATGCAACACAACCTCTATTCACATTTTGTCTTATCCAATCGATCAAGATTCATCATTAAAGCATTTCACCCAATCAGCCCGGTTATTTTTTTCATAAAAAAAGCGAATGAGCGAAAACAAATGACAATCTCTTTATCTTTTCTTGTTGTAATACAAAGAAATAATCAACAATTACACAAAACTCAAACTTAATAGAATAATAGATAAACAATAATATATTATAATATATATGTATGTATATATATATATATAACATATATATTTTCACATCCTTGCGCTGTATTTTTTTATCCTTTCTTTCTCATTCTAAATCCCTATAAATAAAAATCGGTCTTTTTAATTTTTCTACAACCAGATTTTTTTTTTTACCTTTTAGTCATATCAAGATAATTTGGTTGTAGTTATTTTTTATGCACGTGAAAGGTAAAAGGAATATTTAGAGGGCGAAAAAAAGAATTTTTTCTCGAATTTTTTCTAACGCACGTCGCACGTATAATATAAAAAAGAATTCTCGTAACTACTGTTTAAGGTTGTAGAAACCGCACGCAAAGTGTGTAAAGAAAACAAAAATAAATAATATTCACACAATTCGTTCTTTGAGAGGACAAGAAAAAGAAAAAAAAAACAAACAAACAAACTAACCCACAAAGATTCTCAACCTCAAGCGCAAGAGATTTGACTTTTGCGCGAGTCAATTTAATAGTACGACCACTGTTAATCCATATATAAAAACCAATAAAATATAAAATGCACATTTGGCGTCAAGCGTCTACTTCCTTTGTCACAAGTTCATATTCCTTCGATAATTTCGACAACCATATCCGTAATAATAATAACAATAGTGAAAGTTGTTTTTTAGATTTAGATATCTTGAATAACTCTTCACTGAACTTCGTTCGCCCTGATTCTCAGGGGCCCTCGCATACTGCTGCTATGACGGCCGCACGAAGAGTATTACGTGATCAAGGATTACCTCGAAAAAAAGCTAATTCTAAAGAGGATGATAAAGTTGATTCAAAATCAACGACGACAAATCATCCAATATCAAATAACCTTGGTGGTGGTAATGATAATAGTGGCTGGGCTGCACCAAACTCATGGTGGCCTACTGCTCAACCTGCACCTGTTAAATCACGGGAAGATTCATTATCAGAGGCACATGCAAAATTCTCGATCCCAAAAGCACCGAAACCTCATAAATACGATACAGAACAAATAAAACCAGGAGTTCATCCTGTTCTGTTTAACGTTAACCTTGAAAAGAAACAACTACAACCACAAACACGACAACAACAAAAATATACTCGAAATATATCTTTTGTTGCTAATGAAAACCAATCAAAAGAGAGAATTCTAAAATCTGCGAAAATTGAACCGATAAATAAAAAAGAAATAGGTAAAATTACGGGGGATCCAATAGAAGATCAAGAAACAATGGTCGAAAGAGTGAATAATGATTATAGAGTCAGCGATGATCGTCATCATCATCATTCGAATCATAAATCTGATACAAAATCTGAATTGATAGAAGCCTCTCCATCATCACAAGAACAACGATTTAAACAACACGAACCCATTCCAATGCTTCATGTACAAACTAACCCATCTGTTCGTCGTGTATCAGCACCTTCATTCACATATGCTTATTTCTCAGCACCCGCTGCTAATTCAACCAATCCATTCTTTCAATCGGCGTCATCATCATCTCCATCAACCGAAAATTTTGAAATACCTTATACGCAACAACAACAACAACAACAGCAGCAGCATCAGTATCAATTTAATATTAATTCAAATTATAATACCGGTCTTAATAGTAATTTACTTTCGGTGGGATTTTCACCTTCACCGGTATTAACAGCATCATCACTATTATCTTCTAATAATTATAATAATAATAATAGTTCTACATCATCATCATCATCATCATTCTCATTATCATCACACATTCCTTCTATTAATACATCAACCTCAACACTATCATCACAAATGACATCATCCTCATTAACATCACCTGTTAATCTTGTATTTACACCATCACAATCTTTATCACTTTCACCTTGTTCTTCAACTTCTTCGGTTAGTTCAACATATGGGAGTGAACTATCGACTGACGTTAAATCATCCACCACAACCCCCAAAACAGTGACAACGAAAACAACAACCGATACTTACCTAGAAAAACAACAACGATACACGCGAGAAATTAATTATAACCAACAGAGAATCCCTAATATATCATCAACAATAACGACCACGACAAGTAAAAGTTCTATTGTTTCTTCTACGACCACGAGAAGAAGTAGTCAAGTGCAATTTAATATTCCAAGCAGAGAAGAGGGTGATGGTGATGATGAGGTCGATGAAATGAACCGCCTTCGTAATAATAATAATAATAATATCAATAATATCAATATCAATAATTATCACCATCATCGTCATCAAAATCTTAATCATTATCCAATGCAAGCAAATGTTATGAGACCTAAGTCAAAGAGTATTTCAACTGAAAATCCGTTCACTACAAATCATGCATTCTCGGCCCCAACAATCTCAAGTGATGCTTACAGTGGAATTAGATCACCGGCTGCTTCTTGGCTTGGATTTTTAGCTGATAGCACTTGTACTACCCCAATGCCAGATGATGAAGGCGAACAAGTCGGTGAATATATTTTAGGAAAAGTTATTGGTCGTGGTGGTTTCTCGACCGTACGTGAAGCATATACTACCTTAGACTCAGGGTCTTTGGAAAAATTTGCGGTTAAAATTATCAAAAACGATCCTGACTCGGAAAACAATGATCGTCTTCAGGTATGCATTAATCTTCATCTGATTTGACTGTATTATTAAAAATTTCGGATCATCTGATTAACATGAATAATTATTTAGGCATTGCTTCAACGAGAAATAGAAATATGGCGACATCTTGAGAATCCTCATATCGTTCGAATGATCTCATACGAAGAAACAGATTACGCTACATTTATATTTGCGGAATTTTGTCCAGGTGACACCCTATTACAACACATTAAAAAATCCAGCAATGAGTATCGAGCAGGATTAGACGAGGATGAAGCACGTGAAATTTTCCTCCAAATTGCTGAAGCTGTTAGATATCTTCATAATGATATGAGACTTGTCCACAAAGACATAAAATTAGATAATGTCCTATTATCTAGGGAGGGCACGTGGAAACTAGGTGATTTCGGTCTAACTGAATATCAGAATGGTGGTGATTCTAATGATTTAAATAATTCACGACGTGACGAGTGTGCTGGAGGATCTTTGGCTTATTGTCCACCAGAACAACTTCGTTCCAAGATCCCTATTAAAAATCCTTCTGTTGACATTTGGAGTCTTGGTGTCGTGCTATATGCTTTGGTTACCGGTCAATTACCTTATAATGACGATTTCGAGCCACGATTACAATACAAGATTCTCAACGGAAGATTCGATGATTCCCCATTGAGAGATGCAAATGTGTCTGAAGATCTTCGTGAGCTTCTAAAAGGCATGTTTAAAACAAAACCGGAACAACGACTTACAATTAACGAAGTGATAGACAATCGTTGGTGTCGTTCCTAAGTGAACTAAAGAACAATAAAGAAAATCAACAAAAAATAGACATTGTTAATTCTCAAAAG